ATTGTATAGCGAATCACGTGTTGCGAGTTTGTAAAATTGTTTAGTAAAAATCTCACAATAAAATTTTTTTGAATACCTTCATCAATATTCAATTGTCAATTGTGAAACTCAGTTTACTCCGTTCTGACGAAATCTCTATTCAGAGATGAAAGCTTGACGATTTGTTAGAGTTTTTTTTCGGGATACAAATCCCGAAACATATGAATTTTCATTTTCGAATTATATTTTTCAAGATACATACAATACTATTGTATTCAAAAACACTTCATTAGGAGATTTTCACTGAACAGTTTTACAAAAACGCAACAAATCTTTCGCCATACAATGGCTTCTTCGTGTTAGACACAGCCGAAGAAGACATTGAATGGCAAAACACGTGTTGCGTTTTCGTAAAACTGTTCAGTAAAAATATCACAATGAGATGTTTTATGAATACGTTATGGATTTTCATCAAGTATTGGCCAATTCCATCATATATAATACTAGTGACGTATACAATTTTCGTAGTTAGAGTTTCAATTTTATTAGGCGCTGACTCTGCTATTATTTCGGTAAGACATATAGGAATCGACTTTTACAATTTGAAAAATAACTGTTAGGCGTTCTTCAAGAAAGCTGGAGAGTCACCAACAATGACAAGCCATAATATCGAAGTTTAATTGGTAAACTTTCATGCCAGACAAGGTCTTGTGAATATATTTAACTGTAACAGTCCGATACCTTCCATGTTCTCGTTTGCGTTGTCTAAAGGTCGGTGTGAAGGTAGCCTATTAATCACTGTTTCCAGTATCTAAATGGATGTTGAAGCCTTCCAAATATTCAAAAATACAGCGTTTTTAACAATTCTTGACATAAGCGACAGGCCTATAGTTAGTTGAAAGATTTGACAGTGTCGGCGTATGTGTTTTAATTCGTTAGGAATAACCTCCCATACCTGTTATTGAAATAATTTTTGAAGTGAATTGCTTATTTCTGATTGACATATTGAGTGAATAATGATTTACCTTTCAAATTCTTCAAGGATTGAACGAATATCACATTTTCAGACTATTTACCACAGCATACATGCCTGTTGGGTTCGAATTCGCTATGGAACTAACATTTCCTTCCGAAGAAAGCACCACCACAGGCCTATTGATGGCTATGACTCAAATATTTGGAGTGATATGTACCTTGATGCTGGGTTTCTTGAATTCAAAACTGGGCTGTTTCTGGGCCCTGGCAAGTCAAATAGTTCTTCTAACCATTGGAGCTTTGATCACGGGCTTTGTACCGAATGACGTTCTTCTGAGACAAGAAGCTCTACGACAAATAACTGAAGGAATGGATCGCAAGCCTTCGCATCATCATTCTAGGCTAGTGTTTATTCAGTAATTCGTTTATAAGATTCTTTTGATTTTTTGTGACCAGACTTTTATGATTCTTGTGGAGTTGAAGTTTCGAAACTGGTTCGCAATGAATAGATTACTACCAGTTTTCATGCTGATAATTTGGATATTTGAGATATTATAACAATTATATGACAATTATAAACGATCATCGGAGAAAAGGACTCGTACAAAGAGACCGCTAAATTTTCGGGGGTCCTTTGATACCTCTTGACAACTCATAGTTCTATGATTCTGATGTAAAGAAAGACTTCTACCATCATGCAGTCAGTTGAAGGTGGTGCAAAACAAAAAATTAAAACAATAACCGAAGCGGGGGAATTTTCCAAAAATACTGGAATGGCTTTATTTGAATATTAATTTCGACTGGGATCTTTCCTAACAAGATGTCGTGCAAATAGTTGGCTGAGGAAATAGAAGTTTCAATTTTTGTGAAATGTGCAAAGTTCAAATATTCCGTACGGCTTTTATGGAATCAGTTCAATTCACTCATAAAATATGCGAGAATATTCAAATAATATGATTCAAAGTCGCTAGATAGTACGGAAGGATGTAATACAGTGGTCACCTCCTGTGTCACCTGACATGAGTCCTCTGAATTTTCCATCTAGACACATGAAAAACGAAGTGTTACGTCCCCATTCAATTTATTGTAATAATTGCTAGGACGAGTTATTAATATATATCACGAAGTGACACAATGAATTTTGAAATGGACAGAAAGGGAGAAAAACACGATTTTCAGAAAGGCATCAAATGAATGACTGAGGTGGTTTGCAAGGCGAAACTACGACATCGACCACCGAATGAAATTCACCTTCTAAATTTTTCTGGAGGTTCCATTGTAAGGCAACTAATTGAAACCAGAGCCCAAAAACAAAGCATTCTTGATCCGATACCAGACAGCGCTAGGCTTGAAAACGAATATATTGTCAGACTCAAATGTCCTTTACGGACATATCTGAATTAGAAAAAGCGATAACATTTTCCTTCACAGCGACACTGTTTATTGGGTCAACAGAAGACTGAATCCATGAAGTGATAAATGCGACATCCAAAGTCGATTCGTTGCAAAGCCAAGCGACAGCATTGACAGTCGAATCAAATCTGTCTTCTGTCATCATCATCTGTCATCATCAATGAAACATTTATGATCTAACAAAGGACAGTGCTGTTTTGACTCTCCATAGATCCTGCTAATGATACTAGTTTGATCCAGGATTGCATAGTTGGACTCATCTGTCCTTATAGGATAAGCACGATTTTTCTGTCAATCGAGGTAGATGACATCTCCGTAAGGAAAAATGCCATGGCCTTTTCGAAGATGTGGAGTCATCAAGAAAAGTCATTCCTACATTTGTGATTCTGTCCTAAGATAAATATCTGCCCTTGCAAATAGATAAATTTTGAAATGAACAGACAGGGAGAAAAACACGATTTTCAGAAAGAATCGCTATTGAACTTCATTTAATATATGGCGATTATACTTCTGAACATAAAGAACATGTATCACAACAAAACATTTAACAATTCTTTGGCATCAATATCACTTTCATTACGTTTCCTTTCCACCCTTTTCGCCTGCATTACTTTCTCTATCTTCCTCTTTTCCATCCTTTGACTCGATTTTCAACTCGTTTTGCCCTTGGCTGGCTGGAATATCAATGAAAATGGTCCTCCTGCGAAAAGGTAAGTGGTTATTGGGCGCTATCATCAAAAGGTTGTTTCCGTTGCGGTCACAAATGGAAAGAGGTTGACTAATAATGGTTTGGTTGCGGCGAAGTCTCGCTCTTGTCCTCAAGTTGTGCAATCCCGGAATGATACCGGGGTGTTTGGAGATCGTTGCAACGTCTTCGCATTTGATATCGACTTGAATAGTGCTTGCGGTAGTGTTCTGCCACTCTAGAACGTTGGTGAGTATACGAATGTATCTGAAACGGAAACGTATTTATGAAATGTGCGGTCACTTTGTATGTTTTGTTGATTATAACCCTCTTACTTTATTCACACAAAAGTAAAAGTTTAATGCCGTTAGCGATTGTGGTCGATTGAGCAACGGTCGGGGTTATATTCAGAATGTGGCAATCAATCAAAAAAATATTGAACGTCATTCAATTCTACTAATAGAGTTCAATCAGATCTTGTCCAAACTGAAAAAACCAGATAATCACAATTATTGAAGTACACTTCATGTAAAGTCAGATGATAGCTATACCCACTAAACATTGTTTCCTAACCTTCATTATCATTGCAGAATATTTGGATTTGCTCTTGTCCATGCTCTTTAAGTGCATAAAGTATTTGCAGACTAAAAATAAATGGAAAATGTTGAGTGATATTTCATTGAAATAAAAATCACTCAATTATGAAAGAATTCAATTAACAATACAAGGAGATCAAATAAAAACAACAAAAAACAGATATTCCTAAGACTGAACTTCTTTACTTCTTATCAAATTAAACGATCGCGTTTTTTGGCTACTCATTTTCAGCTGTTTTGAAAACATTCAGTCTCTTTTGGAACAGTATCCAAATATTTGGATACTTCATTTCGTGTTTGCTTTTTGTTAGTAATATAGTTCTTTTTTAATATCTCCAGAACTATTCAGTACTTCCTACATATTGGAACGCCGTGAAATGAGTTCTGAAATGGGCAACTTTCTCCTGATCCAACAGATTTTGTATCTAATGGTTTTCGATTTTCCTATGCTAGCCCATCACAAAAAACAAGGATGTGTTTTTAATAATTTCTTGTGTGCCAGAAGTGGGTACTGAAAAATCAGAAAAATTGAAATATTCCATGCCAAACACCAATTTTGATTACATCAGTCACTCTTTGAATATCATCATTTCAAACTGTACCTATTTTTGAATATAAGGTTTTCAAAATATAACATAACCAATCACGTATCTTGAAATATCAACTTTCGAAAAAAAAAAAGTGGAATGCCCATTTTATTGTTATTTCACAAACAGTATTCTGTTATAAGAACATTGAATTATACTCTGGAAGGCATTATCATTGCCTTCCAAAGTGAAAAGTGAGTAGGTTGGTTTCTTGATTCCCCTTTTTTTCAATTTCGTTAAAATTTCATCTTCTTGATGATGTTGATAGAGGCAGCAATTCTCTCACCAAGAGTGTTTTACAAAAATTAAAATGAAATTATACCCAGTGAAAATGTATAAAGCATTGTTTTTCACTAATAATATCTAAGCATTCTATTTCACTCCACCTATTAACTCATTATTATAAGGTGATTCACTCATCAATTATTCGTACATTATTATTGGTACTTCCTCTCAGTACTTTTGTCAAAATCAATACACTTTGAACTCAAACATAATATGAACATTTGACTTTTGTATCATTGACAAGTGTTACTTATTCAACAAATCAACAGAAACTTTGAACAAATAACTTATACTTTCCTCGCAAAAAGTGTATGGAATGTCAACCAGAGTGCTGACTGGTACGAAATATTTATGATAATTCTAATTTAGGTTCTAGTCATCAATCCTATTGGGAAACTTCATACACGAGATGTAGTAGTTATTAATGAAAAAATGATTGCTCAAGATTCAAAACTTGTGATATACAATTTGTTCTGCTGATGAGTTTGTAAAAAATATACCAAATTTTCTGCCTTTATAAATCAGAAATTGAAGATACTTTTTAATTATCGTTGATGAGCGTTTTTCATATATTCTTCATACTTCATACAAATATTTTGATACTTCATTTCGTGTTTGCTTTTTGTTAGTAATACCCATTCTATGACATCGATTTGAGAAAAGAAGAAATTTTCGAAAATATCCGAACTCACAAAACAAAAGACGCAATCTTGCATAAAAAAATGAAGCGAAATTTGTCTATTTCTAAGTCTGAGTGGTAACTTCAGTTCTCCAGCAGCTCCCTACGACTGATAGTGATGAGATTTGGATTGCTGAACCAAAAACTTTTGCTAAAAATACCATATGTTCACCTGGTAAGTTCAATGTACTCTGTATGAATAAAACTGGTCACTACGTATTGTTAGGTTTTCCCCGTGAGTTAACCAATGATTGATATAACGAAACACTTTAAATGAAACTTCAACTATTATTCAAAAGTTTTATAAGATCACTTTGTACCGCCACACAAGCCCTCCTTAAAGCTCACCGGCAGCGACTTTTTCTCAAATATAATTTTCATCCTGTATCTGGAAAGCTGTTATTTGGATTTGGCAAATTTGTGTACAATTTCCAGTCTATCCGTCTGGTCATTCGCATACTCTAAAATAGGTACCTCATGAGAATCATCAGATGAGCTGCCATACAATACATCTATCGAATATTTCAGTTCTTGACCAGTCAACAACATGGATTGTGTTTATCCTGTCGCATCATGTTGGGAGCTCCTGTATGCCAAGGGAAGGAGGGGAGCCAATTTATCCCCGTCTCTTAGGTTTTCAGAGACAAACATCGGGAGGTAGTTATTTATGGTGTGATTATGCCTTTCGGCAATTCCATCGGACTGTAGGTGAAGAGCAGTTGTTCTTGTCTTCTTTATTCCCAACAATTTCATCATTTTTTTCCATAAATATGATTCGAAGTTGCGACCCTCCGTGTCTGGCAATCACGTTTCGCAACAGGTCTTCCGCCAACGTTTCAACCTCTTAGTTCAGTGAGCAATCCTTTTTCTTGCTGGCCGTATCTGGAAATCTATTGCCATTCTGTCCTCACTCCTTTGTCAATCCATTCTCGTACAGTTTTCAATACCGGATTTTCCTTCTGCACCACGATGATATATTGCCTCGTCATGCAGATGGTGTCACCCTCGGAGGCAGTTAATTACCGTATCACACCATGGTCAGCTGGTTCAACAGATTTCTTGTATATACCCTTGGACAAGGGACCTTTACAGGTTCCTATCTTCTGGGTCAGAGAAAACCAGAAGCAGCGGGAGGTAGGGTGGCTTATCTTTCTATCAGAGCTGTTCATAAAGCTGCCCGCTACCTTGTCACGTCTGGTAGAAAGCTCTTCTCCTGGCAACTGGGCATCCTTGTCCTGGCGTTGACAAAATTTGCATTCGGATGTTAGACATGGTCTTTTCGAGAGGCTATATGCGTTTCTGAGACTATTTTCTTTCCGATATCGAATTTCGAAAGTTTGTAACTGGCTATGCCCTTCTGTGGTTTTGAAGTTGAAGAGCCTCCGAAGTGTTGAGTGGTCTGACCTGATCAAGAGTTTACGGTCATATAATAAAAAGTGTGTTAGTGATCCACCGCTTTGACCACTGCGAAAGCTCTTCTCTCGTCACGCAGCAATTTCTTTCGAATGTTTCCAGAGAATTACTGAAGTAGCCAATGACGACTTCTTCTTCTTGTACCTAAGAAAGTACTGCTCTTATTCTATATCGGGATGCATCCCAATGTATGCCAGGATCGGTACGCTGATCGAATGTCTTTTCAGGGTAGCAAATGCTTGCTGGCAGTCTGGAGACAAAACAAAGGGGATTCTTCTTTCAGTCAAGCTATACAGCGATTTGAACATTTTCCCAAAGTCCCTTACGAAACGCCCGTGATAACTACAGAGTCCAGTGTTAGCCATTCTTGCACTGCTTTGATTTTCTCTGGTGCTGTTTCAACTCCCTTCGATAACACAAAATTGTCCCAAGAAATTCTCCTTCCCCTGGAAGAGGCAGCACATCTTGGGAGTGATCTGCAAATGAGCATTCCGCAGCCTCGTGAAAACACTTGATAGTTCGTATTGTTGAGACCGGTACATGACAACAGATTTCTGGATGCCTTCAAAACTTGTAATTCGAAAAGTGCTGAATGAGTTCTATGAATAGCGAATAGTCCTATTTTGAACAGCCCTTTGTTTGGTTTTATACGTATTAATTCTAAATGAAAAACAGATAAATATGAGAGATAATCCTAACATAGAGAAAATATCTCCCCACAATTAAATCGTGAGCTTTTTGAAATTACTATGAAAAAAATACTGGAAATAGATAACAAGTAAGAGATATTGAAAACAGGTAGTTTAGCATAGGATCAATAACAGCTAGTAGATAGGTAATACTAACAGGTGTAGTTAGGTAATACTAACAGTTAGTAGTTAGACCACTAGCATTTATGAATATTAACATATTAGTAAAATTTATTACGATGATCTCCTGAGGACGCTAACTTGGTAAACAAAACGCGAGTTGAGAAATCGTAATTTTTGATCTGGTGTTGGGAAAGTGTTTTCAATAGACTCCTCAAGTTTGACAGATGCTCGTCATAACTTTTTCTGGTGTCTACAATGTCATCAAGATAGACCAAGCATGTTTTCCAGGTAAGTCGTCTCAGCACCAACTCCATCAAATGTTCAAATGTTGCGGATGCATTGCATTATCCGAACGGCATGAACTCGAACTGGTATAATTCACTGCCGGTGGAGAAGGCAGTCGTCAAATCTGACAGTTAGCTGAATACGTTATTGCATTTATTTTGACTTATTCGTGGCCCTATTCATAATATGCAATGAAACTGCCTTCTTTTCATCAGTATCAAAAGGAAACTACGAGTGCTATATCGCTGAATTCCAAATAACAAATTGAAAAATCTGGGTGACCATTCAAAAAAATTGGCGTAGGTGTCGCGACGCCATAATGGATACGCATAGTGCTGGATTTCTACGTAAATAGAGGACCCTTTGACATCAAAATCATCTGCTTCCACGAAACATGGATATTCTCTTTCATTTTCCAGATATTTGCCGCGGAGCTTTACATGGGACTCCCTATAAAAATGAAGATTTTTTTTTCAGGAAATATCCTCGGAGCGAACGGCCACCTGCCAATATCCGCTTTTCAGGTCTAGTGTCGAGAACCATCTACATTCAGCCATGATGTTCAGGGTGTCATCTATTCTAGGGAAAGCGTAACTGTCTTTTCTGGTGA